GCATGTGCAGAACTATTTTTTTATATTATTTAAATAAATGTTAATGTAGTTTGTATAGTAGGAGAATAAAATCAAGCCATCTTGCATGAACACTTTTAACATGTGCAGAAATTTATCCTGAATCCTTATGAAAAAGGATATTTCCCGGAAAGTCCTCGCTCTGTTTGTTGTACCTAGAGCGGAACTGCAGCAGAAGCAGAGTAGGAGGATGGCGGCGGGAGTGGTGCGCCGCCGCCTCGCCCTCGCCGGCGCCGGCGCCCCTCCTCCTTCTCCTCCTCCCATCTACCGCCAGACCGCCGCAGCCATCCCCATACCCGAGGTGAGCTAGGACTCACCGCAAAAAGAGGAAGAAATCCCCCATTCCCCTTTGCTCCCCTCGCAGCAGCAGCGACTCGATTTACTCCCCCTCCCCCTTTGCTCAATCAAATTTGCCGCCCGCAGCCGCAGGTGAAGGAGGACGGTGCTTTCCTCCCCTGGCTGCGGAGCAAGGCCGGGTCCGCCGTCTCCTCGGCGCTGCGCATCGGGACCTCGCCGCTGGGAAGGTCTCTTCTTGGCCTTTGCTACTCTCGATTTGCCGCATAGACCGAGTAACAGTTGCCCGGTCTTGTTGTTGGTCAGGTCCTTGTTCGCTTCGCAGCCGATCCAGGAGGGGGACTGCATACTGCAACTGCCTCACACCGCTGTATCTTCCTTCCCCTTATCTTTTCTGAAAAATATACTGCAAAGATACAGTATCCTGCAACTTTCTTCACTCCAAGATTCAGCATCCTGCTAATACTGAAGGTTTGTTGTTTAATTGTCTTCTTGTAATGTGCAGCAGCTTACTCAAGACAAACTTCCGCAGGAGGTCCGCCTGCTGCTCGACGATGTTGATGATGCTGTTGCCAGGGACGCGGCGGCCAAGGTAGCCGTGCTCCTCATGATGGAGCAGCGCCTGGGACATGTAGGTCTCATTTGGTTAATTTCCCCTGCTAGCCGCAGCGCCGACGCATTTGTTTGTTTGTTTGTTTGTTTGTTTCTTCTGAAAGATTTCTCCTTGCGTCATGTGAAATACCAAAAAGGGAGTCTTTGGAGTGGAGGTGCCGGCTTATGGTTGTTTGCTTTGCAGGAATCGGGGTGGGCGCCTTATGTTACATCCCTTCCGGCCAAGGGTCAGATGCACAACATGGTACGTACATATGCAATCGAAATGTTACAACATAGCGACGTCAACACACACTCCATCGTTAAACTTTGTAGAGGGAAAAATTGTGGACTATAAGTCCTGTCTGATTGTTGACATGCCGGTGGAAGTGCCTGATGGTTTCTTTCTTACTGGGCTTGTTTTGTTTTATCCTGGGAAAACCCCATGATTTTATCATAACCCAAAATTGCCGAGGTAGGATAAGAATAAGGGGAATCCAAGTATAATAATTCTTATGTAGTAGTAATGCACCATATATGCATTAAGTACATTGTTTATGTTCGTCCTGATGAGCCCATGAATTATCACATTCTGGAGACCAAAAATATATTTGATGCAGCAAATATGTAATTCCTCCAGATGTTCTGGGATCTGGATGAGCTTGATATGGTCCGACATAGCCCGGTCTATGATGAAGCCATCCAACAGAAGGAACGAACCAGGAAACAGTTTTCAGCAGCAAAACCAGTTTGTGCTCTCTCTCTCTGTCTGTCAAATTGACATACTTTTTTGGGCTGATTAGTCTCATAACTGTTTGCCCTTTTTCATATGCAAGGCTCTTGAACGTTTTCCACATTTCTTTGGAGAAATCAAACTGGAGGACTTCATGCATGCTTCTGCATTGGGTATGTATAAGGCTCTAAATTTAAAGTGCTACTGAACATTTAGCATTACAACTAAATGATATCTTGGTAGCTGAGCATGTTGGAAATTGGGTGGTTTATTATTCTAACTGTTCTGATTGACTGCATCCTAACATGACACAGTTGTATGATCCTTTTTGTTATGTGTGATTTTATTTGAGAAGGAGACAAAGGGTTTAATAGGGCTTCTTTGCTGTATTTTCCCCAAAAATTTGTCCTCTTGAGACTATTTTCATGGCACATGCAGTTTCATCTCGAGCTTGGCAGACTTCTAGAGGTGTATCACTGGTACAATTTTCTAAATCTTTGCCTGTCACTAGTTTGCAACTTATATATATTGAATGCATTGTGCATCGACATTTTAACTGTCTGAAAACATCGTTTAGGTTCCATTTGCAGATTTCCTTAACCATGATGGTGCTTCTGGTTCTATATTAGTGTATGACGAAGAGAAAGATGTTTCAGAGGTACATGTATGATCTTTGGTTCAATGCCTAGTAGTGCAGTTGTGTATCAAGGCACTTTACTTATTTTCCATTCTTTCTTATATACGGATCAATACTCTGCTCTTATTCTCAGTTACTTACAGGTCATTGCCAACAGGAATTATGCTGTTGGTGAACAGGTGAGTTTTGGAGAACTTTTTTTTGCTTGAACCTTATTGTGGTTGGATAACATGGTCAATTATGACTACGCGAATTCACGAGCTGCATCTTTATGCTTCCGACCCAATGTCTCTTGGAATGGAGGCAACAATCTGTTCCGAGTCAAAAAATAATACAGTGAGGTTTCATTTTATTTTTCAGGTCATGATAAGATATGGGAAATACTCGAATGCCACACTAGCACTTAACTTTGGGTTTACACTTTCCAGAAACATATATGACCAGGTAAAACCACAGGTTGATGGTCAAACACTAGCACTTAACTTCGGAATCTTAGTTGGTAACTTGGTATAGTGGTAACTATTGAAGCATCGGATTATGGGATTTTTGGTCCTCTGAGGCCCTGACACCAGTAATGGGGCCATCTATAGCTAGTTAACATGTTGAGAATATTAATTACTAAGTTCTACTAAACATGATTTCCGTTGACTAGGCATTCATATGACTTTCATACATACATATTTGTTCTTGAAGCATTGCCCCCATGATATTTTCTGTTGCACATGTTCTCAATTTTTTGATCACATTTTCAGGCACATGTTTGGATAGATATGTCAGAGCAAGATCCACTTTATGAAAAGAAGCTTGACATATGGCAAAAGCACCACCGTACTCCGAAATCTCAACACATGTGCAGCTCTGGCTGTACTAGAACTTCTTTTGCCATTAAGTATGCTGTTTGGCAGTTATTTACAGCTAATTCAGTTCATCATTTGATTATATTCTAGATTTTCTTTGCAACATTAGTAAAAGCAAACATCGGACAGTTAAGGTGGAATGGAATTTATTCTGAAATCGGCTTTATGCTAGTGCCGACCATATGTAACTCTATGTATTGATCATATTTTCTGACTGCACTGAAAATGCAGAACTTTCATATGCTGGTGCCGACCGGACTGTACATTTGTACAGTAGTAGTTCTAGATAGTTTTTATTTCAGGCCAGCTTTGTAATGTTTTTTGTAGTCTACTGATTTACAATGCAGTGATCAATACATAGAGTTTCAACTGTCCACCTTACTAGCGCATATGTTGAACTGGGATTGGAAGTAGTGCATGGCTATGCTTGAATAAACGATGAAATACCAACCTTAGTATTTTCTCTGAAAAATCTGCATTGGAATTAATTCTCATAATGCATGAACTGATTCTTTCTGAAAGTCAACTAATGTTTGAAATAGCTCTGGCAAGTTTTAAGTAAAGGTGAATTCTGTGATTGCTTTTGCATGGTCTCTGTTTTGTGTCACTGAATATGAATGGTGGAAACAGGGAAGTCAAATACTATGGAAACAAAGGGGTTGGGATTCCACAGGCCTTGCGTGCATTTGTCCGGGTTTTCTGTGCCACCTCAATTGAAGGTGCCATGCTATTATCTATTACTTCCTCCAATTCATATTACTTGTCGCTGCGTTAGTACAACCTTAGTTCAAAGTTGTACTAAAGCAGCGACAATTAATATGGATCGGAGGAAGTATTATATTTGTATATTTCTTTATTTCATTTCAGTTACATCATTCAGTGACACAACGATGATGGCCTCTTTAGAATTGGAAGAGATGGCCATGGAGGCTGCTGAAAATGACGGCCGGCTTGCGAGGCGTCCTCTGAAGCATGCGGAGAGAGAAGTCCATGCTCACCGCAAGTTGCTTATGCACCTTGAAAGCATGATTCAGGGTCATTCTACAGCTATTGAGGTGAGGATATTGACAACAGCTGAGAATTCTGTCTCGCTAAAAAGCAATACTGATGAAGCCAAATAACAAATACAGCACTACCCTGTTGCGGTTTGGTGTTACATTCTGTTAGTACCCACCACTTGTGTTGTATGATAAGTTCGAAGAATTAAAATGCCAAAGTAGCAAGTGCGGCATACGGTTCCACTTGTATAGGATTAGAGGTGGTTAGGTTTGTATATTAACTTTCTTTACACATGCTTTTTTGTTGAAACTAAACTTGTAATTATTTTTTTGTATGGACGGCTATGATAGTGAAAAAGACTGTAAGAGAAACCCATTTGTCGAAGCAGAGAACAATTTGAATAAGAAGATTGTTCCATCAGATTAAATTCATGTGGATATTCTGATTTGGCTTTATCTTTATTTGCAGCAACTTGAAACCATTGATGGCGCTGCATCTAGGAGCATGCATCCGTTGAGAAAAGAGATGGCTAAAAATTTACTTGCCGGCGAGGTACAGGTTTTGCAGAGTGCTTATGCATGGGTTGCAAACTACTGTAAGACTGTGGCATGTACATGATCATCCCAGCCTAATTATAGATTTGAGGAGCATGCATGAGAGGGAGCGTAGGATTGCCAGCCCTGTATAGATGCATCTCGAGCACTTTTATTGATATATAGATTTGAGGTGCTGCTAGAAATATTAGGCATGTTTGTAACCTACATGATTTTTTGGAGGTTTTTGAATGAAATTTATGCATTTTCAACAGCCCCATGCATGCGAAAATTTATGCATGGGTTGGAACAGCATGCATGCATTTAGTCCATCACTTGCACTGCACTTGATCCTTGTGCATGGCGTTCTTTAACCTCTCACCATCTTTGCTATATTTAGGCATTGATATATTTGTAATGAATGGACTTGGCTATCAGCCTCTCAATGGCATCTCCTCCCTCCCCCTTTCTTGTCTTTTCACCTCCCACTTGTCTCTTTTCTCGTGGTATGGTCGTCATGTATAGTGGAAAAGATTAATTAATGCCAAGAGATTGGGTTGGATTCTGGAGGAGGAAGAGGCAGACAAGGCAGGATGCTGCAGCGGGCGGCGAGCAATGCGTACTCATGGTGGTGGGCGAGCCACATCCGCACCAAGCAGTCCAAATGGCTCGACAATCACCTCCAAGGTATTCATCCACTTTCCCGATTCCATGAATTTTCGGATTATGGATCAGGTCTATCTACAAGTTGTTCAATCAGCCACATTTCAAATCAATATACATGTCAATTTCGGAAAAAATTGACATGCATCTTGTGTCTGCTTGTCTGGGTAAAATCTGCACCATGGAATCAGTGCAGGCCTGTTGCATCCCTGATCTGATGATTTCATCCTTTGTTGCCTTGCCTATATGGAAAGTGGTGCTTGATCAGTGTTAGTTCCAAGCACCCGGGGTCTGATTATTTCATCCATTCTGATGATGTAAAATGCTATGCATTGTGGGAAAATTGTCTTGATTAATTGCACCAAATTAAAAACGATGTTATTTTTAGTTTAGATAGCATCAAGTCTCGAAACTGTTTCTCACCTTGTTGCATATTTTGTTTCTTGCTCTCAGCAATTATTTTACAACAGGATAATGTAAATGTACTAGCCAAACACCGACAATTTGTCAGCATCTATCCGGAGGATTGGAGCACGTTGCTAAAGTTCTCTAAAACCAATCAGATTCTTTGTAAAAAAAATCTGTAAAATGATACATCTCTTCATATATACTTCTGATTGATATGCTAAGAAATTTTTCGTTTGATGTGCAGATATGGAGCACCTGGTCAAGTGCATGCTCTTACTCCTTGGAGAGGAAGCCGATTCCTTTTCAAAGCGAGCAGAGATGTACTACAAGAGGCGGCCTGAGGTGATCACTCAGGTGGAAGAAGTGTACCGGATGTACAGGGGTCTCGCCGACCGGTATGACATCATGTCAGGGGAGCTGCACAAGGCAAACCACACCATCGCTACCGCCTTCCCTGACCAGGTTCAGTATGCGATGCTAGAAGAGGAGGATGACAACGTCCCAAAGGCGTTCACCCCGGTCGATCCGCGCAAGATCCACAAGTCGACCGTCGATGGGCTGCTGAAGAAGAAGAAAGGAAATGCGCCAGGAGCCGGCGGAGACAAGAAGGAAGCAGCTCCGATGAGCAAGGAGAATGCACGAGAAGAGATCAGCAGGCTACAGAAAGCTATACTTGTGATGCAGACCGAGAAAGAGTTCATCAAGAACTCGTACGAGAGTGGCATTGCCAAGTACTGGGATCTTGAGAAGGAAATCAATGAGATGCAGACAAAAGTTTGCCACTTCCAAGACAAGTTCGACGTAAGCGCGGTGATCGAGGACGATGAAGCCAGAGCCTTGATGACAGCGACGGCCCTCAAATCCTGTGAAGACACCATTGTCAGATTGCAAGAACAGCGCAAGACCGCTGCGAAGCAGGCATTGGACGAGTCTGAGCGAGTCAAAGTGCTGAGAGAGAAGCTCAAGCCCATACTGGACGAACATGGCAAGTCTCTGCCGGACCTGGTGGAGAAAAACATACGGAAGAATCATGTCACGGAGATGGGAGACGTGTACCATGTGAAGCTGGGTGAGCTGCAGATGCAAACAATAGTCGGCAAGATCAAGGAAAACTTTGCGAGCGACTGCAACATCACCATGGACGAGATCACGGAGCAGATCGACGAGCTTGTCAACAAAGTTGTCGATTTGGAGCTCATGGTTTCGTCGCAGACCTCGCAGATCGACAGAATGCGCCGCGAAAATGAGGAGCTGGAGAATTCCGTCAAGAGCCTGGAGGAAGAGGGAGGCTCGAGCGAAGTGGAGGAGAAGCTGAAGCAGGTGGAAGAGGAGCTGGTCAGAGTGCAGGCTCTCGAGAGCTCCTTCCATAAAGATGAGAGCACGATACGCTCAAACTTCACGGAAACGATAAGCAGATTCAGTAATTTCGCCGACATGTTGCAGTCGCCGGTTTGTGACTACCAGGCTCCTGCTTCTGCTGCTCACACGTCGGCACCACCCGGCGAGGAAGCACCGCCTCCTACAGAGCCATCCAGCACGAGTCATCCACCTCCACCTGAGGAAGAAGAAGACAAACAACAGGTAGAAGAAGAGAAGGCCACCGTCGTGCAGACTCCCCAACCCCAACAAGTCAGCACTGGAGATGATGCTGCCGCTGCTCCTCAACCCCAACAAGCCAGCATTGGAGATGCTGCTGCTGCTGCTGCTGCTGCTCCTCCTCCTCAACCCCAAGAAGCCAGCACTGGAGATGCTGCTGCTGCTGCTCCTCAACCCAAACAAGCCAGCACTGGAGATGCTGCTGCTGCTGCTCCTCAACCCCAACAAGCCAACATTGGAGATGATGCTGCTGCTGCTCCTCAACCCCAACAAGCCAGCACTGGAGATGCTGCTGCTGCTGCTGCTGCTGCTCAACCCCAACAAGCCAGCACTGGAGATGCTGCTGCTGCTGCTGCTCCTCAACCCCAAGCTGCTGCACCGGTTGGTGTGGCGAAAACAGGGGCGGCGGCGAGCACTACTGGTGCGTCTGTCGTAGATGGCACTAAACATTTAGATCATGGGCATGACAAGATTTCACGGCCGGGTTCGCTGGCACGGCTTCGCCACATCTCTTCTGACGCTGAAGAATCTGAGGAGCAAAAGGGGAAGGGCGAGAAGGGCTGTCTTGACGGTGACATGAAGAAACTGCAAGAGCGGCTCATGGATGGCCTGGAAGACAAGGAGAAGGTCCTGCTATCCGAGTACACCTCGCTCCTGGAGGACTACAAGGACACCAAAAGGAAGCTGCTGGATGTGGAGAAGAAGAACCAGGAGTGCCTCAATGAGATCAGGTCGCTGCGCAATCTTATCGGAGAGAAGGAGAAGGAGAAGGAGAGGGAGAGGGGCAGCATCAGAGGAGGACACAGGAGGACACCCAGCCTTAGCCATCAGAGGAAGCAGAGCCTTTCTTCCATCTCTAAGCTCATCAGGATGGGCTCAAGCATGCAAGACGACCCTCCTGCTGCTGACCTTGACGACATGAGGCTGCCGGCGATCGCCGAGGTGGAGAAACCGTCGCCACTGGAGGAGAAGTTCAGGCGCGACATTGACACGCTGCTGGAGGAGAACCTCGAGTTCTGGATGAAGTTCAGCTCCTCCATGGGCCGGGTGCAGGAGTTCCAGAACAAGTACGAAGACCTCAGGAGGGTGGCGGCGGACGGCGCCGACGGCGAGAAGAAGCTCCGGGCGCTCAAGACGGAGCTGCAGGTGTGGTCGGAGCAGAACGCGATGCTGCGGGGCGAGCTGCAGTGCAGGTTCGCGTCGCTGTGCGACATCCAGGAGGAGATCTCGACGGCCCTGGAGATGGACACGGAGCAGGCGGAGGAGGCCGAGGAGGGCGCGCCGCGCTTCACCTCCTACAGCGCCGGCAAGTTCCAGGGGGAGGTGCTCAACATGCAGCAGGAGAACAACCGGGTCTCCGACGAGCTGCAGAGCGGCCTCGACCACGTCAAGACGATCCAGTTTGCCATCGAGAAGAAGCTCAACGAGGTCGTCAAGCTCTCCTCCTCCTCCTTGCCGGCGGAGGAGGGGGAGGAGGAGGTGGTTGGGCCGGACGGGGTCCTGGCGCGGGTGCCGGCCAAGGCCAAGGTGCCACTGCAGAGCTTCCTGTTCCCGACCAAGCCCAAGAAGCCGTCGCTGTTCGCGCGCGTCACACCGGCCGTGCTCCACAAGCAGCAGTTAGACATGAAGTTAGACATGAAGTTAGACATGAAGTTCCTCCCCAAGATGTCAAAGTAGCCACCCACAGAAGCAGCAGCAGCAGCAGCAGCAGGGATATGTCATTTAGCTTAATTGAACTAACTAGCAGATGGGATACATATTTTTTGATGAAATTAATGCTTCAAGCTATGTATGATTGAACCAAACTATTCTTGCTTTGTTTTCTAGGGCATTGTAATTTGTTGTAACCTCTGAGATCAATGGAAGAAAGACAAATCATTTCCCCTTTTTCATGCTCATCTGTCAGTAAACAATCTCACTTGTTGTAGTTTCCTCCAGGAAATTCAGTGCTGTGCTTATCTAGGTTATCTCCATATGACAACTTTTCACTTGATAGCAAGTTCAAATATTTTGTTTTCTAGGGCAATGTAACCTCTGAGATCATGTTTTCCCTTCCCATTTTCATCTGTCAGGACACCTACTTGTAATTTCCTTGATAGCAAGTACATTTTCTTGGATAATTTTAGTGTTGTGTCATCTTAGAAAATTTACTTGATAGTACATTTTAGTGTAGTGTAAGCTTGAGAATTTTACTTGGTACTCCCTCTGTAAACTTTATAAGAAAATGCTGCTGCGAAAATGCTGTAGCGATCTAAAAGGACATATAAAAGTTTACAGAGGAAGTACATTTTAGTGTTGTGTGATCTTTACATTACTTGATGATACATAGTGTTGTGTAATCTCAGACAAATTTTCTTGATGTATAGTGCTGCGTGATGTTGACAAATTTATTTGATACATAGTGTTGTAATTTTCTCCAGATGAAAAATTGCTTGATAGCAACCCCATAGATGTAGTATGCAAGGTATAGAACGCGAACTTAAGAAGCAGAGATTGCTTGTACAAATTTATATATAGTAGAGACCAAGTTGTGACAAAAACAAGACCTCTGTGCAGATCATCATCTGTCCTTATTTCGAGTTGCATAAACAGGAATGCAAGCTACGTGATCTTCAGAAATTAGAAACTTACATGTCTTTAGAAATTGGAACATCCACATGACTCAACTCCAAGCATAAGAACCTCCCTCCTTTCTTTAGAACCCTGTTTCAGAAGCACAAAAATCCATGTGAAACTAATTAGACGTGGAGAACATAAAGCAGTCAGATTTCAGAAACCATACAACAAGTCCTACCAGCAAGAAATCTCGTGGAGAACAAGTATTGATCCAAACATGCAAATGATGCAAAGTTTGAAAATCAAAATCATATATAGATATCTGAACAGACGAAGGCATCCAATTTGCAGCATACTCGAAATTTCAGGAGTGAAACAGGGTTTTCTCCAGTAAGATTAAAAATGGGACTTGAGGAGAGATTCAGGAGGTTGAAAATGCGACTGATTCTTGTGCAGTAAGATACAACTTTCTCAATGTGTGTAAGCTTTCTCAATGCATGTGTGTAACACTTCTGATGCCGAATACAACATCCATCATTGAGAAAGCTGGAGATCAAGAAACTAAGGCACTGCTCTTCAGTGTAGCCTGAAAAAAAAAATGAACCGGTGCGGTGGACAACAGAGTACAACATCTGAATCTAAGGTGGCATGATAGAAAATGTTTCATGAATCATGATATTTTTCGGCAGCAAGGAAGGACATTGGCACAATATTGAGTAATAATATGTATAAAGTTTATCAACGAAAGCTTAGGACAGCTCGAGGAAGAAAAGTAGAAAAGAAGAGTACAATCCACCAGGCCATTCATCGGTCAGCATATCATCTGATAAGTACGTAGTACTCATGTTACATCTATTTTGTCACAACAACACAGCTGATTCCTTTAAATTTGCCGGTGACTGTCTAATTTTTTTTTATCCTAATTGATATCTGGTAAATACCAATATTTTAAATAGCACGCTATTTCGTCGTTATAACGCGGTTATAGCATATTTGAAAGGGAGACGTTACGTTTTGGCAAAATCGGACGCTACGACGCTAATTGCGTAATTAGCGCGCTACACACGCTATAACGTTGTAACGTTGTAACGTTACAACGTGCAGACCATGCAAAACTGAAATCAGCACAGCCCAGCAGGCCCAGCATGCCAAAACCAACCCACGAACCTAACCGGCTAACCCTAGTTCTCACTTCTCATCCCTTTCTCACTCCTTTTTATGTGCTGGATTTGGCCCTTATGCATATATTGCTTGCTCCTATAAAAACTTTAGTTGCTTAGATACTTTATTTCTAGATATTTTGATTTTTTTGCAAACGCTATTTTGAAATATAGCACGCTATTAGCGCGCTATAACTTGTGTAGCATTTAGAAAAATGCCTCGCTATATTTTGTAGCGCGCTATTTAAAATATTGGTAAATACTACTCATATTACGTCTATTTCGTGTCTGTCCCGCCGGCCACATCGAGGAAAAGGATTCAGCTTTGAGATGAGCCTGGAAAAGAAATCACAGGAATCTGGTGAGTGGAGGCTCGTGGCGGCCGCTCGCAGAAATGGGAAAGGAATTGCACTAATGGTTCAGTTTACATGCTACAACTTTCTAGAAATATTCTTACCTAGTCATATACTAAAAACTTAATATTAGATTAACATATCTGCTAGGCCATCTAACTATATAGTTTTTGCAATTGACAAAATTTAATTCAAGCAAAGATTTGTTACCAAATACAACCAAAATTCAGTACAAATCATATTTATTTTTAATGGTATATATGCATTACAACTGTTTAACAAAACTCGCTATAACTAGGATTTTGGCAACTTTGTTAAGTGGTTGTTGGCGGCGCCTCCTCGCAGCGCCGCTTCTTTTCTCCCTCGAGCTGCCTCACACAACTCTTGTGGACTTGTGGTTTCTCTCTATCTTCTTCTCTCAAGAACACAAGAACACACACACACACACACATACGGAGAAACACACACACACGCACACACACCTCACCGTGGAGACACTAGCTTTGCTTTCTACTCCCGGTGAGACACACATACACTACATTGTTTCATCTGCCCTCACAGCCTCCATTTTCACTAATATGCAACACACACACACACACACACACACACACACACACACACACACACACACACACAGACACATACACACACGGATGCGCTAAAGTGAGCGGGAGCGTAAATTGCTAATTCTGCGCTCCGGCCACCCGGTTCAGCCGCTTCCTTGAATTAGTAATTTTCTTTCCCACCTATAGTAATTGTCCCGGCAAAAATAGTAACCAAATAAATTTGGTTACCACTGTGCCCCTCCGATCCCCCGTCCGCTCTGTTTGCCCTGGGCAGTCTAGTAATACTCTAGAAATGATAGTAATGTAGTTACTTTGGTTGTCGTTGCACCCCATTGGTCCTCCCGCCGAAGTAATGTTTTCAATCAGTCTTCTAGTAATAAACCAAAAAATATAGTAACCAAATTTAAATGGTTACTACTGCAACGGGCGAAGCTGCTGAAGATCAAGAGGAACCAGACGATGTGCCCGATGATGATGATCTCCGCCGGGTCATTGTCGATGCAAGGACGCAATGCGAAAGTCAAAAGGAGAAGCTGAAGTTCGATCGCATGTTAGAGGATCACAAAAAAGGGTTGTACCCCAATTGCGAAGATGGCAACACAAAGCTCGGTGCCGTACTGGAATTGCTGCAGTGGAAGGCAGAGAATGTTGTGCCTGACAAAGGATTTGAGAAGCTACTTAAAATATTGAAGAAGAAGCTTCCAAAGGATAACGAATTGCCCGACAGTACATACGCAGCAAAGAAGGTCGTATGCCCTCTAGGATTGGAGGTGCAGAAGATACATGCATGCCCTAATGACTGCATCCTCTACCGCGGTGCGTACAAGGATCTGAACGCATGCCCTGTATGCGGTGCATTACGGTATAAGATCAGACGAGATGACCCTGGTGATGTTGACGGCGAGCCCCCCAGGAAGAGGGTTCCTGCGAAGGTGATGTGGTATGCTCCTATAATACCACGGTTGAAACGTCTGTTCAGAAATGGAGAGCATGCCAAGTTGATGCGATGACACAGTGAGGACCGTAAGAAAGATGGGAAGTTGAGAGCACCCGCTGACGGGTCGCAGTGGAGAAAACTCGAGAGAAAGTACTGGGATGAGTTTGCAAGTGATCCAAGGAACGTATGGTTTGCTTTAAGCGCGGATTGCATTAATCCTTTCGGGGAGCAGAGCAGCAATCACAACACCTGGCCCGTGACTCTATGTATGCATAACCTTCCTCCTTGGATGTGCATGAAGCGGAAGTTCATTATGATGCCAGTTCTCATCCAAGGCCCTAAGCAACCCGGCAACGACATTGATGTGTACCTAAGGCCATTAGTTGAAGAATTTTTACAGTTGTGAAATGGAAACGGTGTACGTACGTGGGATAAGCACAAACAGGAGGAATTTGACCTAAAGGCGTTGCTGTTCGTGACCATCAATGATTGGCCCGCTCTCAGTAACCTTTCAGGACAGACAAACAAGGGATACCACGCATGCACGCACTGTTTACTTGACACCGATAGTATATACCTGGGAAGCTGCAGGAAGAATGTGTACCTAGGCCATCATCGATTTCTTCCGACCAACCATCGATGTCGAAAGAAAGGCAAGCATTTCAAAGGTGAGGCAGATCACCGGAAGAAACCCGTCATGCGTACCGGTGATCACGTACTTGCTATGGTCAATGATTTACACGTAATCTTTGGAAAGGGTCCCAGGCTCCCAGCGCACTAGCTGTTCCGAATGACGCTGAGGGACACACACCCATGTGGAAGAAGAAATCTATATTTTGGGACCTACCCTACTGGAAAGACCTAGAGGTCCACTCTTCAATCGACGTGATGCACGCGACGAAGAACCTTTGCGTGAACCTGTTAGGCTTCTTGGGCATGTATGGAAAGACAAAAGATACACCTGAGGCACGGGAGGACCTGCAACGTTTGCACGAAAAAAGACGGCATGCCTGCAACGTTTGTACTACTATTCATGCCCCTAGGGGGATAGATTGGTAGGAAAAGACCATCGCTCGTCCCCGACTGCCACTCATAAGGAAGACAA